CCCAAAACATAAAAAGAACCCTAATTTGCGCGGTGCGGAGCAGGGGTAGTGGGCCACTTTTGGGAGAGGGAGCGCCGCTAGTTTCGGGTAAAAATCAGTTTTGAAGCTTCCAGTAGCGTGAGAGCGCCCTACAATGGCGCGGGGGAGCCTCTACCCCCTGTAAGCAGCTACATATGTTTTCAGTATTTCATCATAACTTCCTCTCCAAATGTCCGATTGAAGTGATTCAAGATGTGTTGGAAAACTAACTAAAAGGGCTACAACTTTTCTTCAGATAATGTCTTCAAATTCGATCATCTACTATGTCAAAAGGGGTCTCAAGATGAGACTGAAAATCGGTGCAAAACTTTTCAACTTGAAAGTTGATATATGATAATGTTTTGTCTATGTTTCATCCCTTTGACTCATTTCTTATCAAATTGACCTCTAAAACTATCGAATTTTCATCACAAGGTTAGAAACAAGTTTAGAGTATTTGCACTTTAGTCTCTAAACTTTCACTTTCTTCTATTTTGGTCATTTCTTACTTGTTTCTCCTTATTTTTTCTACATTCATCACTTGTCCTGCAAAACATAAATTACATAGAATTAAACTATATTTCAAAATATTAATCAACAATTTTTCATGTTTTAACAGTAAGATAAGTGTAAAAATGCACTTATCATGACCTATAAATTTTTTGATCTGTGACCAACGAAATAAACTGTAACCTATAAAATTTTTGATTTGTGATATCAAAATAATCCGTGATCAATTAATTTGATAATATTTGACCAATAAAAGTTGTGACCTATAATTATGTATCCGTGACCATTAATTATATATTATTATATTTAATTAGTAAAAATATTTTTAATTTATAAATAAATAACTTATTTTTTGCATTTTTTAAACTCAAAACCTGATTTTTGCATTTGTGAAACTTAAAGACCGATTTTATGATTTTTTTTTCCCATATCATTATAATAATAAGAGTGACTTTTCAAATAAAAATAATTGTGTTTATTAAACATATTGAATAATACATAATATATCAAACACTAAACTTCGTAATTACAAGCTTAGTGTTAAATCAATCTATGATCACCCAACTTTATATTCAGTGTCACCATGGCCACCCAACTTTATTCTTAGTATCACCATGACCATGACCATGACCATTTAATTTCATTTTATTTCACTATAGTCACACAATTTAATATATCATTTCACTATGACTACCCAATTTCATATAATGTTTCACCATGACCACTCAACTTCTTTTCATCATTTTTAAGAGGGGAAAACTATAACTTTGCATTATATATATATATAAAATAAATTTAAAACAAACAAAAATAAAATAAAAACTTATTTTTAAAAAATAAAGTAAAATAAAAACTTTACTTAAAAAATCAAATCAAATAAAAACTTATTGTTAAAAAAACCCTTTTTAGAATAAAATAAAAAAATTATTTTAAAAAACGTTACTTAGAAAAGTAAAATAAAGTAAGAAGTTATTTTTAAAAATAAAAATAAAATAAAATAAAAACTATTTTCAAAAAAGTTACTTAGAAAAGTAAAATAAAATAAGAAGTTATTAAAAAAAAAAATTTTAAATTTTAAATAAAATAATTACTTATGTTTTAAAAAAACGTTACTCAGAAAAATAAAATAAGTTGGGTGGTCACGATAAAACGTTATATCCCTTTTGAAATTAGTAAAAATGGTGAAAAGAAGTTGGGTGATCATGGTGAAACGTGATATGAAATTGGTAACCATGGTAATATTAAGTATAAAATTGAATGGTCATGGTGAAACAAAGAGAGGAAAAAAAGTTGGATGGTAATTAATGTATTTAACCTACAAACTTATTTTATTTTACATGAGAATAAAATGACGATGAAAAAAATAAGAAGAAGAAAAAGAAAAAGTGAAAAAGGGAACACCGAAGAGAGAAAAATCAAAGATTTGAGAGAGAGAATATGTTTAAACCCCCTAAAAAGTGTATCAAAGAAGTAGCAAAGTAACTCCATTGATTGGGAGGGAGAGAGAAAGAAAGATAACAGGTATAAACCCCCTAAAAAGTGTATCAAAGAAGTAGCAAAGTAACTCCATTGATTGGGAGGGAGGGAGAGAGGGAATATGTATATACCCCCTAAAAAGTGTATCGAAGAAGTAGCAAAGTAACTCCATTGATTGGCCTCCCAATCATTCTCTCTCGGAATAATTTGGTTAATGAAATACCTACGGAAGTTGATCTAAGTATCAACTAAAAAAAGAAAGATAAATGATCGAACGGTCGAACTAATGTTGAACTGACGAAATTATGTTATTCATTTAATTGTATCTTTTATTTAATGACATTTAGTGATATCTAACACTGATATTGTAATATCGTTGGTATTAAATAATATTACTTATTATGAAACATTGCACGAGTTCGAAGAAGAAATTCAATAGTGAAAGAAAAAGAAATCTTAATATGTAGATTGGGAGTATATGTCCGAAACAATTGATTTTCATTTTCCGAAACTTGAACTTGAAAAGTTGAAGAGCATGTTCGATTTACCGATTCTGAGTAAATTGGATGGATTTACATTTTAAGCGGTATTTAAACCTCGTTTTCACATATTTAGTCATTTATAAAATCAAGAAACAATCTTGACGAGATGACATTTGGACAAAGAAAACATCTTTAATCTTGAATAGGAAAAAGGATGTTAGAGTAGTGGTAAAACCAATCATGGTATTGGTGCAAGTTATTATTATATTTACTGTTTTATTAATTAGACTAATACTAATATTCTTTATTTATTTGGTCTTTTCATATTAAAAAATTAATACTTTATAAAGAGTAAGGTTCAAAGCAGACATGCATGGCCACGTCCATTAATTATTATCTTATTATAGTGCAGTTTAAGAATCTCTACCACTAGGCGTATTCTAGCAACTACACGTTAGCCAATTAATAAATTAACCATATATATTATTTATATCCCGACATTTAATTTTTGATAAATAACACGTTTCATCCTCAATCTTTGACCTAGTTGCATCTTTGTCATTAAAATTTCACTAATTAGCGCAATATGTAGACATGTCAAAGAGCCGAGCCGAAACTCAACACTCAGGCTCGGCTCGAGCAAGATAGATTCAAGCCTTTTTTGGCCCGAGCCGAGACCTAGTTACATCTTTGTCATTAAAATTTCACTAATTAGCGCAATATGTAGTTATGTCAACGAGTCGAGATGAGCCACGAGTCGAGTTCGAGTTCGGCTCGAGCAAAACAAATTCGAGCTTTTTTGGGCCGAGCCGAGCTGAGCAAAAGTTCAGCCAAAAAAATGAGGCTCGAGCCTAAGAGGGTCGACCCAGGCCCAAGCCGAGCCAACTCGTGTTTTTATTTTTAAATTCGCTATAAATCTATAATTTTTTATAATATATTTAAAATTT